GATGAGACGGGGAGGCATGATAAGAATGAGGAACATAGGCTTGCTCGCTCGCCATCCTTTTCCTCTCGCGAGGTGGGCGACGGCATTGACAAAATCATCAAGGACGCACGGGCAGCCCTCTCAGCAGCGCGGCGCATGCTCTGTGAAGGAAGGCTGCAGTCTGCTGATCCCTGTCTCGTCTTCACCCTCCTCTTCTCTTCCACTTCTTGCTCAGCGTGGTTACCCCTGTACGTCGCGGCGGGACCTCGCCTCTCCCTTCTCCCTCGATCTTTCCCTCCCTCCTCCTCTTCCTCCTCCTCCTTATCCTCTTCCCCCTCCCTGCTTCCCTCCTTTCTCTCTGGCTGCGGCGCTCTTCCAGCTGTTAAGCTCTGGCACCTTGCTTTCGCGGACTGCTCGGCGGAGCCGAACCTGATCTTTCTGCTCCTCCCAATCTTCTCTTCTCCCTCATCCCACCTCCTCCTTCTCATACCGCCTCCTCCTCCTCCTCTTCCTCCCTCCTCCCTCTTCTTCCTTCTCCCTCCTCCCTCCTCCTCCTCCCTCCTACTTCTTCTCCTCCTCCTCCTCCTTCTCCTGGGCGATTTCATTGGCGGCTAAGCGCTGGAGCCGCTCCACTGCTATCGACCAGTTTTTCCGCTCTTTGCTTGTCTTCACTCCCTCAGTCGTACGTCGCCGTCGTCGTCGCCGTCGTCGTAACGGTTCGTTCCGCTTCTCTTATCCATTTTAGCTCAGGGCGTGGGAAGCTACGAATGCGACAGGCAGGGCCGAGCTGCGGGCGGCCGCTGACGAGGGACGCAGCCCGAAGCTGAAGCGTGTTATCGGCTCCTCGGTTTCGGTTGCGCTGTATCCCGGCCGATTGCACAGGACTATCGGACACTGCCTCGATGCCTGGTCCTGTCCTCGCCCCCCCAACTTAGTAGAACGATGGTCCCTACTGGAAGCTTGTCTTCGGCAAGTGTGGCCGATCTGGAGGTGGTCTGTTCTGACATAGCTGTCAGGAGGCTGGACCACCAGCTGCCGAATGCACGTCTTGCCGCATTCCCGAGACTGCCTGTTTGGGTGCGGGGGGCGAGACGGAATCTCGCACTACCTCCAGTGCATGACGCTCCGACGCCGCCTTGCTAACAGCTGCTCGCGGCTGGTCTTTCCTGTGGACCCTTTGCTCTGGCTTGGTCTTGGGAGTCCCGCGGAGTACGGCACTGAGGATTGAGAAGTTTCTCGCCACCAGGCCATCGAGGCCATGCCACTCGCTTTTCACATCTACCACATACTGAAAGACGTAGTCTCTCTCTTTCTCTCGTTCTCTCTCTTATCACACCACACGCGAATCCGCCACGTGGGTCACAGGTGCCGCACGGCTTGCGCTCCGAGCGTATGTGGCACGAGGACTCGCCTTCAGGCTACGTCGACTCCTCGTCTTCCTCCTCCTTTTCCTGCTCCTCCTCCTCCTCCTCCTCCGCCTGCTCTTACTTCCTCTCTCCTCCTTCCTCCCTCATCCCTTCTCCTTCTTGCCTCCCTCCTCCTTCCCTCATGTTTTTCTCATCTGCCTCTCGTCCTCCTACCCTTACTTTCCCTCCTGCTCCTCTCCTTCAGTCCCTCATCCATCCTCTCCTCCCCTCTCCATGCTTCGCTTTCCCTACTTCTCCCTCCTCCATGCTGCCTCCTCCTCCTCCTCCTTTTTTCTTTTCCTCCTCCCAGGGCATCCCCTCATAATCCCTTGGGGCCCTGTAGGCGCTCTATCTCCCAAGACCTCCCCAGAACCGCCGAGATCGAGAACCCGCCACCACGACTACCTGGACGCTCCCATAGACTTTTTGGAGCCCCTGAACCCCCCCAGAGGGAGAGGAGCAGCAGCAGGAAGGCCAGCAGCATGAGCCACAGGAGGATGAGGAGGAGGAGGAGGAGAAGGAGGAGGAGGAGGAGCAGGAGGAGGAGGAGGAGGAGGAGGAGGAGAAGGAGGAGCAAAAGCAGGAGCAGGAGCAGGAGGAGGAGGAGGAGGAGGAGGAGGAGGAGGAGGAGGGGGAGGGGGAGGAGGAGGAGGAGGAGGAGGAGGAAGAGGAGGAGGAGGAGGAGGAGGAGGAGGAGGAGGAGGAGGAGGAGGAGGAGGAGGAGCAGGAGCAGGAGCAGGATCAGCAGGAGGAGGAGGAGGAGGAGTAGGAGGAGGAGGAGGAGGAGGAGTATGAGCAGCAGGATGAGCACGAGGAGCAGGAGGAGCAGGAGTAGTGGGATGGGGAGGAGGGGGAGGAGGCGGAGGAGGAGGAGGACGAGGATGCGGACACGTTTTGAATCAAAGATGGTTCCTGCATGTTTCCATCGCGGGAAGCTACCCATTGGAAAACAACCGTCGGAGAAACTTCAAGCGTGCCAAAACACAGCTCCTGGGACTTCAATGCCGCGCATGAGCGTGACTGCTGCGCCCTGGCAATTGAAATTCATGCCAGCACGCCATATCTGGGACTTCAACACCGCGAATCAATGATCTTGTTGCGCCCGGACAGTCCCAACTCGTGCCAGAACATCATTCCTGGGGCTTCATCATGTGAAACCTTGAAGCCGCTGCAAGCTTTAACACGAATGTGTGCGTCGCTGCGGCGAGGCTTAAACTTTTGAAAAGGAGCCGCCCTCCATCCTTGAAGCTGTTCCAGGCTTCTGAAACGACCGTGTACGGCGCTAATGCGAGAACAGCCATTTTTTGAAACCCACCCGCTTCCCATCCTTGCAACTGTTGCAACCTTTCAAGCACATGTGCTCGTCGCTGGCGCGAGGGCCACGTTTCGACAACGACCTCCACCCTTCAATCTGTTGCAAATCTCAAGCGCCGGAATCATCAGTGGTGAGGAAGTTTCAGGAGGTCCGCCCTGCCGACATTTCTTGGGGTGTGACAGGGAGGAGCTACCTAGGGAGGAGAAGTGATGGAGTAGGAGGAGGAGGAAGAGAGGAGGAGGATAAGGAGGAGGGAGAACATGATGAGGAGAAGGGTGATGAGGCAGGGTGGAGGGAGGGAGGGAGGGAGGGAGGAGGAGGAGGAGAAGGAGCAGGAAGAGGAGGAGGAGGATCTGGAGGAGAAGGCATATTACTAATGTTAATAATACTAATCTGGGTAAAAGAGGGATTGTGGCGGTTTTGTTTGTGTGTGTGAGAGAGAGGGAGAGGGAGAGAAAGAGAGAGAGAGAGAGAGTTCGTGTGGGTGAGAAGGGAAGCCAGGTCTATCAGATCGGCCGTCTCTCCTTGGATGGGCCAGGGCCTACGCTCTGAGTCCTCGCTCCTCGATCTCTTTCTCCTCCTTGCCCCTCTCTCCTCCCCGCCTCTCCTCGATTCTCGATCTCCCCCTCCCGCTCCACTGCTCCTCCTCCTTCTGCTCACCCCCCCCTCCTCGATCGTCGATCTCATCCGCCTCTCCTACTCCTTGCCCCTCCTCGATTCTCTGTTTGTCCTCCCCCCTCCTTGCCTACCTCGATCCTCGCCCTTGCGGAGCTGCGCCCAGGAGCAGCTGTTGCTCCACCAAACCTGGAAGACCTCCGAGGAACCGCTGGCCGCGAAGGCGGCTTGCCACGACGACGACGGCGACTGCGGCGGCGACGGGTTCTTCCCACACCCCTCCCCCTCGGGATGCTCCTGTTCTTTTGCATTGTCACGATGTTTGGTGGTGGCCGTTGTGTCGGACAACCTCCTCTTCCCCTCCCTCTTCTCCTCCTCCTCCTCCTCCTCCTCCTCCGTGACAATTTTGGCTCACATTCAATATGCGCTACCCTGGTGGCTTGATCTTGGTCGCAGTCATGAGGTCTGGGTCAAGGCAGCCCGCCATAACCACTTCACTGTCTACGAACCTCATGCGTGAGCTGCCAAGCCCGTGTGAGTTCTGACCCACCGCGACATTTTGCCAGTGGAGCTCGCCACCCGCGGCTGCGGGTAAACTTAGGCATTGCCATATCACGTGGTCGGTACCATGACCAACAAGGGACGACTGCGTCAGCAGCAGGAGAGCAGCACGAGTCGCCGTCGGGTGCGCCGCAATGTGTCCAAGAGTGTTTCGTGAGAGACAGGTAAACGGCATGGAGGCCATCGTCGGGACAAGTCTTCCTCGCGCTCGGACAGCATTATTTCTCTTTCCCGATCGCGCCACCGGACGTCAAGCCTTTCGCGCAGTGGCCCTCTATCAGCGGATTTGGGAGAGGGTTTAACTCAAAGGTCTCAGACGAAGCAGCTGGACAACAATGGTCGGTTCGGTGAGATGCGTACATCCATGAGTTTATGCCAGAGTACCATCATTAAGAAACTCAGCATGCCCGTCAGCAGTCAGATCGCAGATCAAGGCACCATGTCCAACTCCACCCAGCAGGACATAATATCCCAGCGTGCCCAGGTCGCATCCCAGAACCAGCTGATAGCGGACCTTGCAGGCCATTTAAATACTATCTTGCATGGCAGTGTGCTTGGAAAGGCGGCCAGTACTACTGGCAGCATTCCTGCTGAACAAGATGTCGTCTGCCTGGTCCCCAGTACCAGCAGCCTACCGATGCCACGGTAAGGTACATCGACACGCCCCCTCGCCCGTTGCTTCGAGAGGCTCGGAAGGCCCACATCGAGCAGCATATCGTGTACATATTCACGCATCTCTTTGCACATATTCACGCCAATGTTTCATGACGTGTCTCAGTCGCAATGTTGTCAGCCCGAAGGCGTTTCAGAAGGCCTACAATGAGGCTGGTTGTCATGAGTGGCGCGGCCCGTGTACGAGTAAGACGGTCAGCATTCGCTGTCGGCATGGCCTGCCGCTCGACGTGCGAGACCGCCAGCTTTCGTTCAACAAGATAGACGTTCCGTTCTTGTAGGGGTTCAAGAGCTCGGCCAAGTGGACGAGTGAGTGCTGCGTAGGCGCCGACGGCTTCAAGGGCGTGCTCCAGATTATCGGATGTGGCGATGTCTGGGGGTTGGTGAAGACGAAGAAGATCACGCTTGGGCAAGAAGACTTCGAGCCAGTGGTGTCGGAGCATTGTGAGTGGGGCGTCAGCCACGAGAAGACGCTCGAGCTCATCTCTGCGGCCGCGCTCCTGGAGCGATAATAGGAAGCATCCGAGGAGCAGTCTCAGCCTGGAGGACAGCGTGGGGCGCAGCCACCAGTGAATGAGAGCATCCCCTTTCCCTCCTCGAGCCTCGAGGAGCGCGAGCACTCGCACATAATTCGCTTGTTCAGCTGCAGTAGTTTTCTGCAGCGTGTGCCTAGCATCAATTCCACTCCTCTTCCTCCTCGTCCTCCTGCTCCTCCTCATCCTCCTGCTCCTCCTCCTCCTGCTTCTCCTCCTCCCCTTGCTCGTCCGTTCGCCATCAAGCAAAGACTTAGTATTTGCACTTGGAGCGTCCACGCAATCCTGGGATCTGCGTCTCCGGATCATATTGTGATATGGAAGGGGTTTTGTCGTCTGAAGCGCCAACGATGATGTGTGCGTTCAGGGACACATGGTATTGCAGCACATTTTGCGCAGTTGAGAAAGGATCACCCGTCCCATTGTCCGTTTTGCACGTTTTCCGAGACTGCATCCGCTGGTGGCCTGCTTTTTTCTTGTACCAGCTGAGTAACTGCTCGCGAGGTTTCAGGCTTGCGGGTTCTGCGTCATAGTTCCAGGTCGCATTACTTACCTCCTCCAAGGGCCTCCAGATTGTTGCCAAATAGTTAATGCTCATGCTGTTCCTGACTGGTCTGACTGGGATGTTCGGGGGATGTTTGATCGTACTCGTAAAGCGTTTCGATAGGATTGTCCTAAGTCTGGTGAATCGCGTTTCCGTTTTGACACTGGTCCTGAGCGTCCTGTCAGCTCGCGGCTCGCTGGCTACTTTCAAGCGGTGCTCGGTCAGCTAGTTGAAGCAGTGCAGGAGCGTAGCGCGCACCGTGTTGCTCGACGGGTTGGGGGGGGATGAGGAGCATCGCCAATGATTCCCAGTTAGATCGGATAAGCTGCACGCTCGCCTCGCAGGACTTGTTGGATTCATGTCCTGGGGCTGGTGCGGTCTGGATGAATGCTGAGATGTGTGCGCCCACGGATCATTGCCCTGAGTTCCTGTCGTTGATTCCGTGGTCTCCTACTGGGCTTCCAAGGATTGCCCCTTGGGTTCGTAAGCACGAGCAGTTCACTATCATGCTTTGGGACATCTTCGACACCGAGTTCTTGTCGGTGGAGCTGGCTTCCCGTCTCCTGGAGGTCAAGGAAGCCATGCACTTCGTCGCCCGTCGGGTCAAGGGCTGGGTTCGCGAAGAAGGAGTTAGGGCGAATGAAGAACATGTGGTGTGTATGTTGACCGTGCTTCGTGGGGCTCGGTGTGGGGGCTTCCGCAGGTATCTTGACCCCAAGGAGATGCGGTGGTCTGATCGCGCGGGTTTCGACGCCTTTTTTGCCGAGCTGGTGCGCCAGAATCTTCAAGCCCGTGAAGCCTCAGCTCGTGCTGTAAGTGCTGCGCCGTGTGGAGACTCTCGTGCATCCGTCGGATGTCGCCCGAGTGGAAGAAATCTGGTAAGCAGCTCTATTTGCGGCGAGTCGCTGGCTCGGATGGCGTGGGTCATGGCGGCCCGAACGAGAGCTCCAAACTGTTGGCGTAGCACTGCAAGGTCATTTAGTACCATGCCGCTGACGGCAGGCTGAACGCTGATTCAACCTCTGCTGTTGCCCCGAGCCCCCAAGACGATCGTCAGCCTGTTCCCAGGAGTGGTTCTGCGCATCCTTGGGTCGTCCCCGAAGCGATTTTCTCAGACATTTTTGGGGCTGCAAGGTGGGTGCCTGCCCTGGCCCCGACGGGGCTACCTGCCCTGCGTGGAAAGCTATTGGAGATGCGGGTCCTCAGTTGCTGTAAGCGCTGTGCCCCAAGCTAGTCCGGCGGCGGCGCTTGCCGTTCGATTTCAACGATTGCGCTGCCGCCTTCCTTCCCGACGGGCGCGGCGCCGAGGGGGAAGGCGTCTCGCGCGCCGCTGGTGATACTAGGCCACCCCCCTTTTCGAATGCGGACAACAAGCAGTTGAGTACAAGCGTTGCTTGGCCCCAGAGTTTTTTTTTCAAATAGGGCGGCGGATGGTCGACGACATCGTTGGAGCCGACGCCTTGCCAGTCGCCCACTCCACGTGTGATTGTATACGTTCGGGCGCTCTTCGACCTGAAGGCTGCCTTCCCCAGCATCAGCCGCATTTATATTTGGGAGGTCCTTCGGCCGTTCGAAGTTCCTGACTGCATTATCCGGGGTATCTGTGCGTTGTATCATAATGGCCGCATCGTCGTCCAGTTCAGCTCGTCGGGGCTCCACTCTATGCAGCTTCGTCGTGGGATAAAACAGGGGTGTCTGCTCAGTGGGCTGATCTTCAGTCTATGCTTTGACCCGGTGGTCTCGAAGCTGCAGACTCTCACGATGTGCGCCGCGTTCACATTTAGTGCATTCGCTGGTGACCTGGCTGCGACCGCCAGCGATCCGATCAGTGTGCTGCCGCGCCAATCAGGAGTGGGGGCGGGACTCTCCTTCGACTGAAGACTAAGACGTGTCAGCTGCTCCCCCCCGATGCTGACACCTGCAGGCGTGCTCTGCAATTATGCCAAGAAGCTGGCATCCGTGTTGGCAGCCTTACGATTTCTCGAGGCGGGTGGTATCTTGGGGTTGGTATTGGAATTGGTGCTGCTGCTGCTGCTGCATCCTGTGCTCCTGTGATCGCCAGGTTGATGGAGCGTTGCTTTCGGGTTAAGTCCATGGGCCTGGAACTTTCGGCCAGTATCGTGTCCCGCAATGCCTTCTCGCTCCCTTTGGTGGCGCATGTCTCGCTGGTACATGCCGATTGCTGCTGCTCGCGCTGCTGGAAAAGATGGCCGTCAACTTTTGACATGTTCGCCCAGGCGCAGCTTCCCACCTGCGTTGTTTGACCTCGGGCGCCTCGGGCACCAGGCGCAGGCTCGTCGGTTGGATACCTGCGCGGGAGCGTGCGTGATTTGTGCTGCGACGAGAGGTGTCGCGTGCGAGAAATATCCTGCCCGTGTGGATCTGTGGAGTACATCGGGCAATTCTTGTATGGCTTGGAGGTGCGCGCCCACGGCACGTGACTCGTAATGGAGGCCCACGAGAGTTTCTATCGCGTTCATAATTCCCCCCACAGGACTTCCAGGCCAAGAATACTGAGCAGTTCATTCATCAGTGCCTTATTCGGGACAGCCCATTCCCTCCCACTGCCAGTGGTATACTTCCAAGGTTCAGCCACTTGGGTAAGGCCACCCCCAGCATGGCAGATACGGCTGTGATCAAACTCGTCCTTTTGGGTGCCAGGCAATGGGTGGGCACGCTATTCTTCATCCTGTATCGTACACGGTTGCTGTGGAAGTACTTCGGTTTGCCCCGCATCTGCTCCCAGAAAGTTATGGTGTTGATCCGTGCGCTTCCTTCCTTCCTCATCTCCCCCCTTCGAATAGTGACTCTTGTGTGTCTGCCGTCGTCACTCTAGATTGTTTGCATTCCGCCTTCCACTCTCTGCGTGCCTCTGCTCACTCCCCTTCGCCGGCGCGGACCCGCGGGCTTATC